GTGTTCCGAAATAAAGCAACTGTATGACTCTTTTTGAGGTGTTTATGTTCGAAAAAGACCGAAACAAATGGTTTTACTCAAGAACACACCCATTTATTATTAACCTATAGGTCACATAAACTTCAGAAGAGGAGTAGTTTTATGGGGGGTTTTTTCAGTTTGTTTATATAAAAGATTTTAAATGCCAGCCAATATATTCCAATATTCGTTTGTGGGTTGATATCTAACCGATTTCCAATATCAATGACGGATCAGGACATCCCTAAATAAAACCATCCCTGTCACTGATACTACTGGAAAACCCCAGATTTATAAAATACATAGAACTAATGTTAGGAAGGAGACATTTGTTATTAAATTATATAAAATTAGTTTAAAGTATTCTAAAATCTAAAATGCATAAAGAAGGTGTTTAGTTGTTGTATTAGTCTACATTCACACTGCAGGCCTTGATGCTCAATTCTGATTTTTTTGAGTTGCTGTTCATATTTCCAAATAAATGCGACTTCTATGTGATCTCCTGTGTGAACTGCAGTCATACAACGCAAGTGTCCCACATGCGCAGTAGAGGACGCAATGATATCACAGGCCAGCGTGCTCAGCGTGCCGGCGCGCATCTAGCGGTCTTTTCCTGGGTCGGATGAGAAAAAATCGGATCTGTGTTGTTCAGACTGCCATGAAAAGATCAGATCCAGGTCGCATATTGGCAAAAAACTAAATCGGATTTGGGTCACTTCAGGCTGCAGTGTGAACGTAGCCTTTGAGTCACTGTGAATGTGCCCACTGTGGCAGCCATCTTGGATTGCAGGTTAGGAGAAAAACTGCCTTAAAATGCAGCTCATCCATTGGACATGAGCTCAAAAGAAAATAAACTTGATTGACTAAGTATGGTGATTAAAAGAAAATAACTCTGTGTATAAGTGACATGCTTAATATATCAAGACGGATTCATTATTGGTAACATTCCAATTATTTGTTTAAAAGCTAAAACTTGTTTTTCTTTTCAGTCTAGTCAAAGTGAAGAGTAGTGGATTCTGGCAGCTGTCATTAGCTGCTTAGAGGACAATGAAAAAGATTCAGGATAGTGTAAGTTGTCCTTTTTATTTCTTTCTTCATTTTGGATTTTATAAATTAGCATCATGTCGGTTATAAAATTAGTGATGCTAGAAAATGCATTCTGCTGCTGACTTCACTATTAGGGAATTACCATATTTTTCTTAATTATTCCTTTTGCATGAGCATAGTAAGATCAGAAATGTTACATAGCAGGGCTAAGCAGCATCCTATTGACCAAAGAGGACATGCAAAGCTGCTGTTCCTTAAACTTGTGTCCCCACATGATGAAA